AAAGTCACAAGTTGCGAAGCTTGGCGCAGTGTCCGAAAAATGCCCCTAAGCAAACTGCGATCGAAGCGGATATATGCCAACTTTGCTCAAGAGTATGTTTATGTTCTCTGTGTGGTAGGTCAAAATTATATTTCAAAATGCTCCAAGTGGAATAGCAAATCTAATATGCACGCTTCAAAAAAATATAATACAAACAACAATCGCGTATTGCATTCCTAGCTAACAAAACACCTGCTTGTAAACAACTACAACTATACTACTTGAGAAAATTTTGTTTTTGCTTGCGAATATGAAAATAACCGTTTATACGTCTTCCGTTTCTCATTGTTAGTTTTGTACGTTGTTCCTTCTTTTTTCTTTTCTTTTTCTTTCGTTACAATTTTTACAGTACAACACTAGTAGTGATATTTTCTTTTGCTGTTATTGCATTTTTTTTTTTGTTTTTTTTTTTTTTTTTTTTTTTTTTCCCAGAAAAATTTGAAGTTTCTCGAAAAACAAAGCAACAAAAGCAAGGTAGAAAATTTCTCAAACTATGGCGAAAAGTTTTCTTTCCAACGGTGTGGTACACAAAAGCAACAACAACGATAACAAGTAAACAGACAATGAAGCCTTCCTTATACGCATTTGAGCGATTCTTTGATATTTAGGGCAAATGTATTTCAATTTTGTGCTTAGTAATGCTTCTAAGCTTAGTGATGGGCGTGTGATTTTGTACAAAATCTCTAACAATAACAGGCATCAAATTTTTAATTGACATCTTTTATTGAAGAAAATACACTTTCATCCATTACGGCTCGTATTGTTGTTATTGTTACTATAACCTATTTAGGCCAAGGAAATATATTCTATGACTAAAAAGTGGGGTAAGCAAGACTATCGGCTCATCTTTAAAGATTAGAAATATTAATGGAAATGCCATAGGCATAACCTGCTAGTTTTGTGGAAAATTTTAAGGCAAAAGCAAATTGAAATTGAAGGTTAAAAATTTGTATATACGGCTTACGGTTCGCCGAATTACGGTCGATCGAATTTGGTCTTCGCAATGATGCGCTCATAAAGTTATAAAGTGAAAAATATAATAACTTGAAAGTATTTATGTTAACGTCTTACAAGAGCGTCAAAGTCAAGAGTTGGTCCAGCATAATTGAGACGTTAGTTGACGCCCACAATATTAACTGAACTCTATGCTACTTGAACATTTTTAGTAATAACAGACGTGTCACTGGATGGCCTCAAAACAATTAATGATAAACCCCGGGGATTTTATACCTTTTTCTCATTTCTTAGTAATTCGCCCACTTTTTGTCAGCCCCACTCTAAGCAAACTGTACTTCTCTTAATGTGCGTTGGCAACTCTTTCCCTGATATCAATCGATTGCAGAGCCGCTTGTTGTCAAGCCCTCGATCATCATGTTACGAAAGTAATGAGATGATCACTATGCTGCCTTACTCTTGTGGTTATAAAATTTTTCTTTGAAAATTTTTTTTTTGCATAAAAAGAGTTGTAAACAACGGCATAGTTTATGCAGAATAGGAAACTTCTTCTTAAAGGATTTTTTAACTAAGAAGAAGAAGAAGAAGAAGAAGAACTTGAAGAAGTGAGAAATTCTTAGCGGTAAACGGTAACGCATATGATGATGGTAAAAACATAATCCAGTAAAATATTTCTTAAATATGTGAAAATAAAACGAATAAAACGAATAAAAATCTTAATAACAAGGAAATTTTTCAATTACTCAATTTTCATTGCTGCGAATTCGTTTATGCAAAAGTTTAAAAAAAAAAAAAAAAAACAAATTCATTTCTTACAATTGTTTTTTAAATTGTCTGTGTGTGCGTTTGCACTGCGTGTGTATAAACTTTACAACACTTTTAAGCGATTTCTGCGTTATCGTTTCGTTGTTTTATTTTTACGCCACTTATAGGCTTTTCCCAGGATTAATACGTATTTTTCGGGTTTTATGTCTGCCTGTCACACCGCAGGTCTAGTTAGTAAAAAAAAAATAATTGTTTTTTTGCAAAAATGTTCTTCTACGAATAAAATTCTCGCGTACATGATATTAGAAATTGCAGAAAATTTTTAAGTTGAAAATAAATTTGCTTGAAACTGTAAACTGTAAACCGAACAGCTTAGCGGCACTGCGATTAACGCAACAACAATGTTCTAAGCATTTTCTGTTCACGCGAAAGAAGCATTTCTTGCGAAACATTGATGCAATGTTTATTTATCAAAATATTTTTAATCATTTTCCACAATTTTTTGTTATCTGTTCGGCGAGATGTCGATACCGTTCCGAAAGAATGATATTAGTTTGGCAGCGATGCCATCATCAACCCATTTCCGCAGTTCTTGAAATTTACGCAGTCGCTTGCCACCCATGTCAAGCAGCATTGACCTGACTAAGTGGTATTCAGATGGCGCTATGTCTGGTTAGTACGCTGCAGGCGGCAGAACTTTCCATTCGAAGTGCGACAGTGTAAAGCCGAGCTATCGATGTCGTTGAAGAGAATTAGTCTCTTTTCCATCAATACATCGATCAATTTGTTTAATTGTTATTAGTAGGCATCTCTCGTAACACTCTCATTCGATTTTAGCAGCTCGTGATACACTGCACATGGATCATGTAAGCAGACGACTATCGCCGCAATGATCGCCTTGTTTTTTTTGAGAGACAATTGCTTATCGTTTCGAGACTAATCAACTGCGATTGTCGTCAGCTTTTCAATTCTTCCTCTCAAATTTTCCATTACAATGCATTAATAAGTGGGCGAGGTGGAAAAAAAGGCAGAAAGAGTTAATTATTGTACATTTGTTTTTCAAAGATTTTCCCTAAAAATTAATGTTAACTGTTCGGTTACAACATATTGTTAGCGATTAATTCATAAAAATGATGAATTCATCATTATATTAAATTTCCTCTTGCAATGATTTTTGCCAAATCTTTTGTTCTTTTATGCTCGTATATAAACAAATAAAAACAAAATCTACTACATAAAAAGTTTTCTCTTAATCAAAACAGTTCAGTATTTATTTAACTTTTATGAAAATTTTCGTTGCAGTTAGAACTTTAAAAATGATGTACATTTTTAAGATTGTTGTGTACATAAATTTCATGCCAGCAATTCGCTAACTTTTTCACCCTACCGGCTCAATTGGTGTACCTCTTCGTAAACACCAATACCATCATCCGCATAGGCCGCCCACTGCTATGCTGCAGTATTCGAATTACCTCCTTTCACTTTCTAGAGGACGCAGCTTCTTTGGGCGGTAACGGTCCTTTCTCTCTAGTTAGATATTCGAAATAGTAATGGCTATAATGCTAACACACCTCACCTTGCCAGGTGGTATTTATTGGTATTTTTTTTTAAAGGGCTTCGCCGAATTCCAATAAGATGTCATCAGCCCACTATCGCAGGCGAGCAGTCAGACGTTGCCAGAGTGCCTTCACACATCCGAATCATGGTAAGATTTGGGAAGTTGGTTTCCAACTCTTGTAATATATCCGATATAACGGTTGATAACGTGCTTTGTGCAACACTTACAGTATGGTCGCTCCAGGCCGTCCATTTGTAAATTGTTAAAGCGAACAATTCTAGAGTCATGGCCAAGCGCAATACCGACGGCACTTGCGTACGTGTCATATCATAATTCAATAAATATTAGAAGCAATTTACTTGCTCGTCCTGATGTAGCGCTAGGGTTTCGAAAGCATCCAGGAAAAGTCTTTCTTGTTCTTCTAACGGTGACCCTTTCTTCTGCGTGGCAGTTGTCATTGTTCTCCTCGTCAATGAACGAGCATGAAAGAAAGTTACAACACCGAGTGCTGGTAATGTACACATTGGTTGACATTGCTTAATTTGAGTCGATAATTAAAAAAAAAAATTCCAGTTACTTTTAACAAATTATTTTTTCTCTTTGCTTATAAACGTAAATACGGGCACGCTTCAAGTTTTTAGGGGTTCTGAACCACTTTTTAACAGCTGTTTGCACTTTTTTTTTATAGCTGTTTGCAGATTTGTTCTCAGCAATCACCTAATTTGACATAACTCCGCGAAGGTATTTGGCGATAACCACCAGCAAATTTGCTAACGTGATTAGATTTTATTGGTGATTGTCACCACTTCGTTGTCGCCGGCTTACAAGTTTATCCCTCCGCGCAATAGAAACAATCGCGAAATAATACACAAAAAACATATGCGGCGGAATGAAAAAAATAAATGATAGAAATATGAAAAAAAAAAAAAATGCAGACAAATGAAACTAACAGATATTTATGTGAGCAAAGTAAAATGCTTTACAGACTCATGAGCAATCATAGATAGGACAATGCCTATTGAAAAATTATCAAGACTGTTCCCCGTGATATCTATGAGTGATGCAGCTGAGCATTTAATGGTTGAATGCAGAAGAGTTAACATCTTTAGACAATCTTTCGCTTTCTTTGAATGTAATAACTTACAATAACTTATATGACATTTTTCATGCTAGCAATTACACACATCTCAAACAGCTGACAGTCTTCATTAAAGCTGCTGACTTTTCTTTTTAAACACTTTTTCTCATACTACTCCGGCTTCTTGCGGCAATTAATTCAATAGCGACACTCAATCCCTCTACCAATGGTACAGTTCATCAGAAAAACTCCTTCATCTCACGTTACTGATGTATGAGCATGACAGGCTCTATGGGCTTTATCCATTTCTCTCGTGAAAAAAAAATAAAAAAAACAAGCAGGATATCCTTTGGAGCGTTTTTACTAAAGCATATATTTGGCGAACGTGTCAAGTTGGGGATGCCAATTATGCATAAATTTTATATCGTTTTTGTCGAATACTTTATCTTTTTATCTTTTAATGTAAAGTGGGAAAATACAGTACTGCTTCTGTATGTGCATACGATCCATACACTTGCCTACGAAAACAAGCCTCCGAGTTCTTTGCAAACTATGTACAAATAGAAGAAAATTCCTCATCGTATTACAATTTTCCTTCAATTTCAGATAAAGAATTCGAGACACGCGATGCAGACTAAGCTTTTGTAACTTGGCTTCACTCCGACTGGCATGATTGTCTTTGCACCTGAAGCAAATCTCGGCATTACTTACACGGCTACATGGATTGAAGAATTCGGCATAGAATTGAAGTAAGTGCAAATTTTATATAGGGTTGCGATAGAGAGCCACGTCATTTGTATTGTCGTTTGTAGTGAATTTGTTTTGATCATATTTGAAGGTTAATATCGTCTCGTGGAGACTTTGTTCATCTCTTCTTTTTTAACTATGAAATCTTTACTAATATTTATCCCTTTACACAAAGTTCTAAAGTGTTTAAAAAAAACGATTTCATATTCTTTGAAAACGTAATTGAGGCCAGGCAGCCTCTAAAAAAGAGCGCTTAGTGGGACTTATTGTAGTAGTATAAGTCAGTAAAGCAGATTTTATACCAGATGATACCGTGCGGAAGGAAGCATTCGCAATCTATACGTACGAACATTGGGCTCGACCAGCTTCAGCCAACGGTACAGCACCGCTGTAAATGAAAACGTTGCATTTACCAAGAAAAAGCAAAAATTTTCTAGTGATAGGAGCCAGCATTCAGTGAGCTTCATGGGATTTCTTTTCATTGCTTTCGTACTCGCCAAGTCGGTGCATATACAAGGGCGAGGGCCGTCTACGTAACTATTTTGTATGCTATTTTTACATAGCTTAAAAAGTTTTTAAAGTTAGCCTTAAGCATGCAAGTCAAGGTCCAATTAATTAAGTGTTCAAGGTGTTTGAGTAAATTTATTAAATGCTTAAAAGTCGGATGAACGACGGACTGCAAGGTAATAGTAGCTATAACAGTTTATGAAAGGTTCTGGTGTTCTGGAGGTCTGAAGAGATTTCCCTGACGAGAACTTAAATCCTTCTAATATGATTCAGTGTGATTCATAAGGACTTGGAACAATTTCAATCTCAACCAAGAATGATACAATTAACTTGAGTAACTTATTTGCACAGCACTGTGCTTTGGCAATATAATAAGCATAACATTCGTATGAGCAACAAAAAATGTCGATAATTTGCTCAAAAAAAAAAAAAAAAATATTTTTTTTTGATATCGAAAATTTTGCAATTGTGTTTAGAATATAATTTTCTATGAAAGCATAATTTTCCGGCGTAACACTGATGACGATAATCATTTCTATAATTGTACTTGTACTGATGTGCCTACTAAACCAATTAAAAAATGATGATTATTATATTGGTTGTTGTTGCTTGTCTCTATCATTGGTATCTTTATGACTGCCAGACTACAAGTTTTGTCCGAAGTTTGCTATGTTATGCTTTTTGCATTTGATGATACGATTATTATTATTTTTATATTTATATTTATGTGAATGTATATATATATATATATATAATTAATATTATTATTTTTATAACCAACACTAGAGGATGGAGTTAAATTCATTTTATCAAAACGTTTGCGTCAATTTTACGGATCCATTTAAGGTGCGTTTGTCCGCCGGCCTGTGTCATGTCTGCTTCATAAGCATTCTCTTGGTTGCAAAAAAAGGAAGATATCGGCTTCAAGTTTTGCAAATACTTACAAGCAGGTCCCTAATGAAATTAGGTCAAGCCGGTCAAACGATACGACTATACACATGTCCTCTTGCGTTCTATGTTTTTTGCTCATTCCCCGCAAGCTATAACGGATAGACGATAAAACTTTTCACGTATGTTCCACAAATATCAGCCAACCCTGTCCTATATTATAAACTATGATAGATTAATTCATACGTTTTTCTTTTTTAGTCTCTTTTAGCATAAGCATTGTCGTTCACAGCCAAATATGAGTTTTTTTTTTTTTTTTATTTCTTTCCATTATGCTTACAATGGAATTTATTTAATACCAAGCTGTTATCAACTTTATGTGGAATAAATTGTAACATAAAAACATTTAAAGATAAAATTTTTCAACATTTTTTGGCAGGATTATTTAGCGATTGTATTTTATGTACCGTTAAATAACTTTCGTTTTTCTAATGTTCTGATTAACTGAAAAAAAAAGAGACAACATTTACTTTAGCCATTGACGTAGAGTTTTTTGTAAAGTTCCCCTCTCAGGTTTGTTGTATGAAGAGAGGATTTTTTTTATTTTTTTTTTTTTATTAAGAACAATGACAATTTTCTCATACTACTATTAACAGTGAATACTGCTCTTTACCGTTTGTCTATATTGTACAATTTAAAATGTTAAAGTCGCACTAATCGGAATGTCAAGCATTGCTCGAGAGAGCTTTTCATTCAGTGTTTCTATGGAAAAGATTATTTTTTAGCAGGATTTTTACAAGAGATAGACAGGAAGCGCGGGAGGCGAATAAAAGCCTACCTACTCCATACTTATCATAGGAAATTTAAATGTCAAAAAATTAGCTTGTATTTCGTTAAACACTGAAAGTCAAGCATTGCCGCTGATGATTATCTACAAAGATTTAGAAAAAATGGTTCTTTCGCATTTAAAGTTTGGACGTTAACTTGGGAAGTCAAGATGCTGTTCCTTTTGGATGCTCTTTGAAAATTGTTAAAAATGAAAAACTATTCTTGATTAGTATTAAATTTTGAATCGATTCAAGCATGTCCGTCTGTCCGTTCATATAAACTTTGCTGTAAACATTGTACTGGCCACAAAAATGAAGCTATCGACCTTATGTATCGATGAAACATTGGAAGTTCTTGCCTTTCGGGGTTAAATCTATCGAAGGACACGCCTACAGTAACGTGACATGAGAACACCTTTGTTTTTCAAAAGTAATAAGAAAATGGTTTTTTACTCATTACTCATAAACTCTAGCGGATAAATGCTCAAAATTCGAAGTACGTTCTATGAGCGATGCGGTGGTACCTGCAAAAAATGGGAAAAATTTAGACCATCTACCCAATATTATAGTGCCCATATTTAATTTTTTTTCAAAACCTCTCTAACGCAAGTCCGTGTGTTCGTTTGTTGGTCCATCCATCTGTCCGTCTGCCAAAGTATGTAGTACCTGGAGCAAAAATGACACCCGCACGTCTGTACAACCAAAAGTGAGAACAACTTCGCTTACCGTGTCTTTTGGTCTTTGCTCATGAACTTCAACAGATATCCGATATATTATTCTACAAGAATATCAAAAATCAACCACGTCTATCCAGTATTATGAAATATGGAAATTTATATTTTTTCTTTTTTTCAGTAATTTATAGAAGATTTCACAGACGATTCGGTCGCGACCGAACCTAATTTTTTTAGGTGTTTATTTTTGCTTTTGGGCTGGGACACGGCGGTGATTACTTATCTTTCAAATGATTGCCGTCTTTGAGGGTAGTGACTGGCAATGATTCGTTAAGGTAAGAACTCGCTATCGCAAAGGTTGTTGTCATTCATTCCAGATTAATGATTGGATAAAAAATAGTAGCATTACCACTTACGTGAATAAATGCTGTCGGGTTATCGCGGGACTGCAATTATTAAACAGCTTTTATGCTGTTTGGGAAGCTACTCGTTTCAGGTTAACATTCCTTCTACTATCACTGTCGCCAAGGACTGTAGTCGTTTAAAATATGATGACGGACGGATGGTCCTCTTGAAATCGGAATATAAATTTTTTTCAAAATTATTATTCCTTCTGTCATTATTGTTGTATAAAGTATGATCTACAGCACCACGACTCGAAGCCGGGTAGTCTACTTATATTGTGTTGTTGTTTCATTTTTCAGTTATTATGGGTACAAGTGATCATATGTCCACTTGATTAAATATAAATTTCAGTTAAGAAAATATAAGCGAAATGTGTATTTGTCATCTTAAGTTTTATCAACTTTTATCAGGTTTAAGAATAAATCGATAAGAATTTTGATGCATAATAACAGCCGTAAAATCCTATACAGGCGTACAGCGCACATCGCACATCATATGAAATGAAAAAATTAATATACCTCCAGCCGTGGAATGGCAGTCAGTAAGTAAGAATATCATTAACACATGTTATCCGCTAAGAAACAAATTCTCTTAACTTTGCCTATTGCAAAGTCTACTTTGTTAAGCCTACTTAGGAATGAATGTTTTCGTGTTAAGGAATTCGAATGTTCGTGCGCCTTTAAAAGGGATTGGGATCACCTGCAATATTTTAAAAGTTGTCTAACACGTATAAAGTTTTATGCAAATTTCCATAAAATGGGACAAAATGTAACGGGTCATTATTTTAACTTAATCTTCATTAAATTTCTACCTATGGCATAGAGAAGAGAAACTTTATCTTCTGCCAATGTTTGTCAAGTTCTTGGACGAGCTAATGCTTAGTTAGTTTACGTAAAAGATGTTTTTAAACTAAAAAGATTTTATAGATAGTTTTGCATTTCTAACGTAAAAATACAAAAAATTTATTTAAAAAAAAAAAAAAAAAAAAAAAAAAAAAGAAGTGGAAAAAGAATGCAAAGAAAATAGAATAAAAGAAGAAAGAAAAACTACATTAAGTGTGCATCCCTATGTGTTATTTTATAGTCGCCCCAGGCAGATGGAAAGTTATTTTGATAGCATAGAGTTCTTTTATATTTTTCTGCCTCTTCTTTTTTTTTTTTTTTTTTTTCGAACCACGTAATAGTTGCCTCTACCAGTTAGTCTATCGAAAGGAGTGCATTTTGTATTCGAATCTTTTTCTTTCTCTCTATTATGATTCGATTAATAGTGAAGGAAAGATAAGATAAAAAAGATTTGTATTTATGTATGTCAAGAAACATTGAATTATTACACTTTCCTCATTTGACATGCATAGAAAACTTGAGCACAACAATGAGAAGCGTACCCAAGATTCGTTTTAAAGCGATTGCGCTTTGACTATTTGTCTAGTCATTTGGTTCGTAGTTTTGCTTAAGAGTTCGTTTTAAATGCAGAAAATTTTCTATTTTATGCCCAACACGAAAGATATATTTGTTTTTTTCTAATGATTGTGACGCACTAGAGGTCCTATAAATTCACATACATGTTCTCAATCTGTTTGAGCAATGGAATCGATTAGTTAAAGTGCAAGATTACTATAAGGAAGCGAAAGTTTTACTTTGTTTTTAGATTGGCCTGAACGCAGTGATGTGAAGGAGTATGCAGCGGCACTCCAAACGTTTC